TTTCTAATAAACAATAGAAACAATTATATTCCGTTACATTATTAGTTAGTGAAAATAAGGGTTCTGATGCTCAGAAACGGATTCATTCTGTTTCTATTACTAACGGTTTTTGTAACAAACAATCCGTTTATACTGTTTGAGTATTAGCAACCAAATTAGAAACGGGAATATTGGTTTCTAATTATTGAGTAATAGAAACCAAATTAGAAACGGGAATATTTGTTCCTAATTATTCAGTAATAAAAACCAAATTAGAGACGAGAATATTTGTTCCTAATTGTTTAGTATTAGAAACCAAATTAGAGACGAGACTATTTGTTCCTAATTATTCAATAATATAAACCAAATTAGAGACGAGACTATTTGTTCCTAATTATTTAGTAATAGAAACCAAATTAGAAACCAAATCATCATTTCGATGTCTCATTTCAGCTACCAAATTTGTAACATTTTGGTTTGTTCTTAATATCTTAATATTAGTGACAATTACAATATAATGGCATATTCTGTTTTTCATTGTTGCATTAAGTAATTATAAGATCAATTTTTACTAAATTTATTTTGCATCAACGGGAATCATTAATACCACTTACAATAAGAAAGCAAGATTAAAGCTAAATAAAATAAACTACAATTATTTTAATTCATCAATACAATAATAAAAATTTCTATTGATAAAACATCAAAGTACAAACTACTAATTATTTTATATCCTCAAATAAAATGGGAAGTAATATTTTCAACATTTCATGATTGTCGCCCAGTCGAACTCGCCGAGCCTTCTCTTGATATTGTGCATCAGAGATGAACCCGTCATACGTTGGCAGCTTATTCAAGTCAAGATACAATAATGATTCCTGAGTCGTTGTGATGAACCCGTCATTTGGTAGCTTATTCAAGTCGAACGGCAATATCAATGTCTCCTCTTTAGTGTTACATTCTTGTGTCTGTATATAATAATCAAATTATTCATCATATCATATATTGGTGAAAAGTAAGAAAAAAAAAACATAAATCATATATTGGTGAAAAGTAAGAAAAAAATAAATTTGCACTTACCGTATTTAAGATTTTTGGAGACTCTGGCGGATAGTTCAAATCCAATCCTATTTTTTGACGCTGTAATGTCAAATTGTAATTTCCCATGAAAGATGCTGCTAGATTTCACTGCTCAAATTGTAATTGCGAGGTGTTCTGTAGTGTTTAGTAAATAGGATTGGTTACGCAATTGTCAGTTAATATGATGTGTAGTGGTCAGTTAATAGGCATATCAGTTGAACGCAAACGAGGGTTTATAAACTTAACCTATTAATTAATTACAATTCAATATTTATTAATTAATTACAACTCCATATTTCCTAACTTAACCTATTGTACAACTCAATAATTATTTATTAATTTATAGCTTTTTAATAAAATAAATTATAAAAGTTACTATACAATATTTCAATTTAATTAGTTATCATACTTACAATAGTTTAATATTATTAATATAACTGTAGATTGTCTAATGAAATACAAACCAAAACAAAAAAATGCTACAAGAAAATGAGTATCATATAGATGGTCTACACATAAGATTGAAATATATCTTAGTCCATATAGAAAAGTTGTAGAAGTAACTAAATCATTAACTAAAAAATCTAGGAAAATTAAATATTCCATATAAAAAAAATTGCAAATGATAAAGATCTAGGAAAAGAAATATTCTAGGAAGAAAACGTGCAAATGAAATCAAATCATTAACTAAAAGATGTAGAAAAACTACATAATTTAAATAAAAAATGGATGTACCAAACTAAAAGCCGAAAATACCAACCAACCCGATTTTATTGAAGCAAAATTATGATTTAAGAAAAGGTGCAATTAAAAAACACTATTTCGTCCCCGAGCCCGAAGGATACTTCGAGTTAGGGAGGTTAAGGTCTCGAAGCATGTTGCGAATCATTTCACCCATTTCTTTACGGTGCCGCTTTGCTCGACGTTTCATTCCCAGTTTAATTTCAACTATTTCCTCCTTGGATTGCCGCTTCATCTCCGCAATTTCGCTAGCCATTTTTTCTGCTAACTCTTGGCGAATCTCTTTTTCTACTTCGACTCTACTCTTCGTCAGCTCATCAATAATTTCTTGCATCGCTTTGAGCTTCTCATTCACATCGTCATTGTTGCCGTCATTTTCTGAAACTAATGAACCTTCGGCCGGTGTAAATCCATATATACGACCCCTGTGTGGACCATTCGTCGCTTCTGCCCATGCATCGGCATCAAACATCGGCTCATCTAACATATCAGGACCATACTTTGCTTCAAGGGCAGCTTTATATTTTTCCTGGAAAAGTATCAGTTGCAAATAACTAATTAAGTGTTATTAAAATAATCATAATTTGTGGTAAACTATTCAACTAAGGCAGCAAACAACTAAAAATGAAAAACCATTGGAATATTACTTGCACTAACATCTTTAGACTTATCGTCCACGTAATCACCAGTTCCCTTTTGGCGCTTATGTGTTCGGGCAAATAATTCCGATTGCGTGACTTTGCCTTTTTTCTTCATCTCCTGAAACATGTTGAAACATGTAACTGATTTTTAAATAACTTATAGAAATTTTTAGTACATTTAAGAAAATACTAGAATATTAATGAGTTAGGTGTACCATTTGTTTCCTGTGGGCAACAAAAGGTATTGAACCACCGGTGTGTTTTGCCATAGAATTTCCTTTCGTAGTCTCTCTATTCTGTTTTGCAATCTTACACTTCATCTCATATTTCTCGTTAGCCCAATGTTTGTCGATGATTTGCTGCCAATATTCATCATCTAACCATCCTGGAGCATAATGAACCCAATCTTTTGGGTTCTTCGAGCCATTGCACAACTTCATTGCACGTGAACGTGCTCGATTGAACATCCCCTTAAGTCGTTCAGCAGACGATCTGTTAAATGCTCTCCGTACTTTTTCCGTTTTTCCTGGAGACCACTTGAACTTTTCCTACGAATCACATGTTCAAAGTAGCAATAATAAATTAGAACAGACATAATTGTAATAGGAGACATGAAGCTGAAAATAACTTAACTTATTAACACACATTACATTGAATTTCTTCCATAATGCATCTTTCGTGGCACCTGGAACATGTTTATATGTCGGGTACGGGCCATTCAAATATGCTTTCAATGTTGCAGTTATATCACGTGGAACCTCCGGGTTTAGGAATCTATATATTTAAGTCACGCAAAAATTAAATGTTATACTACATAATGTTTATGAAATATACAAACAAATGTACATTTCACAAAAAAGATAAGCAGCATGAGTAGAAGACTTCTAAAGTAAGTACGGCATACCTATTTTGTTCAACTGATATATGCATCCGCTTACTTTCATCGGTCGGCACAATTGTACCACTGTTTGGCCCTCGTCTCCTAACAATTTCAGGATCACTATTTGAGTCACTAGATTGCCCCCAGTCAGTCCAATTTTCATACTCGTGAGTGTCGGGATGGATTTGAGTTTGTTCACTTTCTTGCAAGTTATTTGTAGCAGCAGTTGGAGAAGGAGAGACTTCATCACTATCACTTTGTACTCCTTGACCCCAAAAAACCCGACGGACTGGCGATCTTGATGCATCATCGTTAACATCATCTTCCCCTAAAAATCGAACTCTTCGACCGTCACCTCGAGAGCTTCCTCTTCCTGCTCGTCCACGCAAATGCAATCCTCTTTTTGACATCTTGTTCCAATAAAAAAAGTTTCTTAGATAAATAGCTGAGGTTTGCAAAAAAAAAAAAAAAAAAAAAAAAAAAAAAAACAAGAAAAAGTGAACCCACGCAGCAGACAATTATAAATCAAGTACATAGATAGCTGAGGTTTGCAAAAAAGGCCCCATCAAATACAATTATTTACTAGAGAGGCCACAAATAGTTTGCAAAAACAAGAAAAGCCATCCCAAACATCAGACAGAATTAAACAACCAATAAATAAGATCAGTCACTATAAATAGAAAAACCAACTAACAAACACTAATTATAAAGGGACAAGTATGGGAACAAAAGCAAAGATAGCTGAGGGAAACTGACATTCCCCCAATCAAATGTCAGCATAACAACAGAACAAAAGACAAAGACCCTACCTTCACTTTAGACGTCTTCAAAAAATAAGAAACACTCAAGCCTTGCTGGTAAATATATTTGGACGTACGTGTAGGAAACTAGAAGATAAATGTAATTGTATGTGTAGGAAACTAGAAGGTAAATGTATTTGGACGTGTAGGAAACTAGAAGGTAAATGTATTTGGACGTGTAGGAAACTAGAAGGAATGGTAGGATTTATATAGAATATTAATCTTATCTACAATCAAAATCTTATTTCAAATTCAAATGCCTAACATACATGAGAAGATAAAGGAAGCTGTTATGTTTAGATTTTAAATTCAAATGTCACGACATGAGAGTGGATAAGTAAACATCAGTTAGAATATTGATTTTGTTATTTAAAGTTCATAATATGATTTTGTTATTTACCACAAAGCATAAACAAACCTGGCAATCGCAAAAAAAA